TATTTAGATACTCATTTCATAAAACTTGTTCTACTTTTGGTGAAATTCTACATTTTTCCTCCTTTGATAACTGGTATTTTATTGGTTCTTTTCAGGATCAGTACAGAGAAATTATAAACAATCTGTACATAATTCTTCATGTTGTTGCTCAGGGTCACACTGGCTGTATTTCTGATGTTTGGGGTTGGAAGGGGATGTGAGGGTGGGCAGTGTGTCCACTCGGCTGCCCTCAGTGGAGAATGTTCCCAGAAACTAACTCAGCTCAGTATCCACAGCCAAGGGAAGCCAAGAGCTCTGCTCCGGATGTCCAGTCTACTCAGGGCTCTCCGACCTGCGAGTGGATCTCTGGCCTGTTCACGGGTCTCCAGTAAAGGAGTTTGTAGCCTTAACTTTCTCCCATGGAGAAGCTGGTGGGTTTGAACCTTGGGGCTTGTAGTTAACAGTCCAACACTTGTGTGCCAGGTCTTCAACGGGCCTCTGGGATAAAGTAGTTAGCAAGACAAACACTGTATCTGCTCATGTGGGTTTACGGGCAAAAGCAAAGTATGTTATGTTTTATGAAAGAGAAGTCTCAGCCGTGTGGCTATGAAAGGGAAGTGAGCTTCGGATTTAGTTAACGCTAAAGGACCTCCAATAGTGATGACAAATGGTCACTGTGGGACTGATAACCTGCACGACACCCTGATGATGGCTCCATGTCCTCTGGCCTTTCATGCAGCTTCACAGTGTAGAGTAGTGAAACAGAAACATGATATGGGCTCCAAAAATGGTGAAAATGTACTAGTACAGGTGAACCATTTCACTTAATGGCTCTACGCCCTGGAGAGAGCATGGAATGGGAGCCATTACTCTGCTATTCAGCCAGTTGACTTCAGTTTCTATTTACATCTGATATTATGAACATTCTATCCAGCTGGAAATGATTCTCGTGTTAAGATACTTACTTTTCAAAAACATGGCCTCTAAACATACGCTAACTATTTCATCTGTGCTGAACTGAAAAAATAGCCATCTGTTCCAATCCTGGAGGGAACATTTCTGGTGTTGAACTTATTGGTCTCCAATGTAGAACAGAAATATACCCAGGCATGGTAGTTTTTCTGTGATTAAAGAGCTTTTCCGTGATAGTTTTGAGTATCTACAATTGATGCTTTTTGTGCTGCTGTTAAGATTTCACTTTTAATAAGACGTGACTTCATAGTGCTCTAGCGTTGATCTTAATTAAGTTCATGAACCCCAGAGCATAATAGAACTGGGTTCAAATATGTTCCCTACTAAGTGGCTGTGTGATGCGGCAGTTCCACGACCCTTTTCTGATTTCATTTCCCTTCCCTTTAAAACAAGATTGGTCCTACGCCATGTGGTTGATCTTCGTCCAAAAGAACAGACAAAACTTTCAGAACGATTCTGAAGTAAAATGTGGTCTGTGATTAGTTAATATCCATACACCTGCCAGGACACAAGTTAATCTGATTATAAAAATGTATGTACTAGCCACTAACCCAGTGATGAAGAAATTGCAGAATTCTACCAGATCTTCAGTCAGAAATTGGTGAAATATGTAATCAAGATGCATTGATAATTATTGGTGACTAGAATTTGAAAGTTGGAAACAAAGAGGAAGGATCCTTGCAATTGAAAACATGGCCTTGCGGATGAAAACAAAACTGGGCATCACATGAAACAGTTTTGCTAAACCAATGATTTTTTTCATTGCAAATATTTTTTTTTCAACCACAAAACAGTGAGTGTCCACATGCACCTTGACCAATGGAATACACAGGAATCGAATTGCCCACGTCTGTGGGAAGCAAGTAGGAGAGAGATGGGCTTTCTACTCTTGTAAATAGTTATCATCTCAGAAACTCTCAGGGGCAGCTCTGTTCGGCGTTACAAGGTCACCACGAGTCAGAAATGACCTTAGAAGGGAGGGTGGTGAGACTTGTCTCACATACTTTGGACATGTTATCGGGAGGGACTAGTCCTTGGGAAAGGACATCATGCTTAGCCGAGCAGAGGGTCATTGGAAGAGAGTAAGAGCCTTGGCGGGATGGATTGACACAGTGGTTGCAACGGCGGTGACCTGTGTAACCACATCTGTGAGGATGGTGCTGGCTGGCAGTGCTTGCCTCTGCTGCACGTAGGGTTGCCACGGCTTGGAGCCTGCTGGTGACACCCCACAACAAGGTGTAGCTGTTAAGAGAATACATCAAACTGTGCGCCAAGTGTTTGGCACCATGATTGACTCAGCAATACCTAGCCTCGGAAGAAACATCTTTATCAATCAGAGAACCAGTTAGAGTCAGAATTTATAGAAAGGCTAAAACATTTTTTGTGTGCTGACCTGGTATGAGAAGCCAATAAAACAGAAAATGGTGACATATAAGACAGTGATTAACTTTAATTTTGGAGGCAGTGCTGGCTTTGAAACTCGAGGGACTACACATATTGTCTTTGTAACTTGGGACATGCTATTTAACTTCTCTAAGTCATTCAAATGTAAAATGGTGCAAATAATAATTCTACCCTACAGGACTGTTTTGAGGATTAAATTAAATGGTCCAAATAATGCACTTTGCTGAGTTTCTGGCACACAGTACGCACTTGAAAGTATGAACTATTATTATGAGGAAATCTTGCAGACGTCTTCTTTCTAATCTCCACAGAGATGCATCTTCTCCGTAGAAGAAAGGGTGCTCAGGGGCTCGCGGCAACCATGAATTGTCATGTTTAAGTTCAGAACCTGCTTCCTGCTCCCCTCCCATGCACCTGATTCAATCTGGGAAAGAAATGGCTACAATTCCTGCTGCTGATATAATTTTATAATAGCACAGATTTGGGACTCAAAATTAATCCTTTAACTAAAATTAAACTAATGGAAACCCCCCTGCAAGATTGCAATAACACAAACATGACAAGCGCCGAAGGTCACAATGCCAGGATGAGTCTCCGTAGATAATTCAGATAATGTGTCAAACCAAAGTATTCAGACAGAATTTGAAAGAGAAAAAGAGCAATTTTTCTATAGATATAAAATGTGGACGAGAATAACAGACCTTTCATGGTGGGTCTCTGGGCTTGTCGGGTGCCATCTATCACCACGATTTCCCGTCCTGCTTTGGAAAAATAAACAAGTACAAATTCTTGTTCTCTCCTTAATGTCACGCTGCCCCCCCATGCCGCCCCCCCCCCCTCTCCCGCCTTATTTTCACTACTTACAGAGGCCTCTTAACTTTTATAGTTCTAACAGATTTTTAGGCAACGAGACACTTTACACACAGCCACAACGATAAGGATGGCCCAGGGTTGGGCAGTGTTTCATTCTCACTGGGAGTTGGGATTACTTGAGGGCCCCTAACAACATCATCATCAACATCAAAAGATGGCCTGCTTTGCATACCTGGTGAAGCTGTGCCCCAAATCTGCTAGCCATAGATAAGATAAAGTACTCTAGGCTGCTGCTTTCCCTTGGAGTTTTCTGACCCAAACTCTTCACTTTGTCACTGAAGGACATTGCCTAGATGCAATGCCGCCTCTCTGCTTCTCTTCACGTTTGGGGTTCCTGTGTTCTCTTTTCTCGCTCCTCTTTTGGGGTCCCCTGCTCTATTAGAGGTTGCTTGAATTTTGAGAGTCTTCTGGAGTGCGGAGCTCTGGGGGTGTCATTGGTTGTATGCAGGGCTGCTGATTGCAAGGTCAGCAGTTAGAAACCAGCAGCCATGGAAATCTGCAGGAGCCATTCTGCTCTATCCTATAGGGTCCCTATCCGTGCAAATCAGCTTGATGGCAGTGTGGTCTGAAGTCAGGCACTGCCCTTGCAGGCCATAGCTGTCCACTTGTCGGCCCCAGTACATAGCTTGTTTTGATACACTGCCACCTTGTGGTCATACCCCTTTCCTGGTGCAACCCTGAAATCCCTGGACTCATTTGTTGTTAAAGGCAGAATGCATTGCAACTCAAAGCAACCCCGTGTGAGAACATTTCCCAGGCTCTAATCTTTGAGAAAGCAGATCTCTAGGCTGTTCTCCCACAAAGCGACTTGGTCGGTTCCATCCCTTTTGCTTAAAAGCAAAGCATTTATTTAACCTTTGTGACACAAGGGTGCCCACCGGTACACACGGGCGATACCTAATAAAGTTGGTCTATGCCTTTGATCTCAAGAGTCTAGTATGATGAGCAGATCCTTAGTATCATCTGCAGAATGGTCAGAGACATGGATTCAGAGAGCTTATTGAATATTATGCCTGATACATAGAGGAAAGGTAATGATAGTCTCAATATAGTTCATCTAGATTATAGAACTTCCCACTCAATCTCGAAATCGAACCCCCTTTCTTCTTTGCACTTAAGCCTGCTCATTATCCATACAGTTTCCAGGCTTAGAAAACCTATAGAAGGTTGCGATAAGTAGGAATCAACTCAGTGGGTGTGAGCTTGCCTTCTATCAGCAAGGTGGTGGCTCAGACCTGTAGGCCATCCCTGGGGAACAAGATGCGAATGTCCCGATCCAGATTCAGTCCCAGTAACCCTATGGAGCAGTCCTCTTCTGTCGTACAGGGAGGATCACCATAAATTGGAATAGGCTTAACGGGCCTGGGTTTGATTTTCAGGTTTTTATTACCCACTGACCCATAAAAGAGAGGAAAATAATTCCAAGAAGATTGACTTGATCATCCTGTTTCCTCTCCTTTCGGACCTGGTTTTACTCTGACTTACCTCCTGTCCAATTCCCAGCCCTCGGCTGGGTCTCTCCCACTCTTGACAATTTATCTGAAGAGCCCTTAACTCTCAGGCCATCCTCAAGGAGTTTGGTTTTTATGTTAGTGGATCTCCCTGCTTCGAATGTCCTCTGTGAGGACACTCTGTCCCAGTGTGCCCTCCTGGTACCCTCCCATTTACCTACACCCACAGCAAGACAATAGAGTCAAGGCTGCTGGTTAGTAGCACCAGGAAGACTTTTTCTATTCTGTCCCTCTCTTGGGAGATTTCAAAACATTACTCACCACTCTCATCTTCATCTTCATTCACATAGCAAGATTTTCTCACACGATTCTTTGTTTTTAAGCTTCTGTTGCTTATATAACTCCAGCTTAACTCTGCATGTATAGAGTCCTTTGCATAATCTTCCTCCTGAAAATAACAATCATTAATATTCATTATTACACAGCACCTACTATGTACTGTGCCCTAGTCTAAAAACCATATATACATCAAACTTATTTAATCCCCACAATGACTCTCTCTGGTAGATAATATTACTATCTCCATGTTCAGATGAGAGCCACAGATAAGTTAAGTAATTTGTTAAAGGTGATTGGAAGCATTATGAAATGAAACATATACAGGGCTAGTACATAAAAATCTCAAGCACTGGCAATAATGACTCTTGTTAACTTCAACTAATAGCTCTGGGGACACTATTCAATAATGAATGATGCAAGATACATTTGTCTACAATGTCTTGTCTCTATTTTCTGAATTTATTGCCCCATCCTTCCTCTCAAAAATGTAGTGCTTTCATATGTGCTTTTTTGTAGAAAGAATTCCTAATAGAACATGTATAATAAGAAGGTTACGTGAGTCCGAAGAAGAAATGCAAATGCCCTGTAAGCCGACGAAAAGATGCTCAACATCACTAGTGATCAAGAAAATGCAAATAATGAGATAGTTTTCATCCAAAATATTAGAAAACTCTTAAAATATTGATAATTGTGGAGTCATAGAGGACTGGAAGTACCATTTATATTTTGTTGCTTGTTGTGTAAATTAGCATAGTCTTTTTGAGTGACAATCTGGCAATAGCTAATAAAAAATTAAATATGTAATTTTCAGGGCAGCAATTCTCAATATCTCTCTTAGGGAAATATTCAGATGTGGGCATAGTAAGTAGAAAAATGTTCACCACAGCCTTTTTAGTAAGAGCACAATCTATCAATTGGTAATTAGTTGAATAAAGTGTGATTCCTGCATTCATAGTATACCAAGTATGCAGCAGTTTTAAAGAATAAAGTGAATATAGATGTACTGACGTTTGAAGCGCTCCAAGATAGATTATGTGAGAAAGGCAAGTTTTAGAATAATAAAGATGCTCGTTAGTCAAAATAAAAAATAAGCACAACACTATGTACTTTTATGCAAACATGTGGCATAAGCATACGAATCAAGTAGAATAGTAGTTACCCGAGGGAAGGCATCCAGAAAGTGGAGAGACTATTTTTTAAGTGTCTACATGTTTACACACACATGCATTCATGGCTTTCTTTTTGTGTACATTTTAAAATTAAGTAAATAGAAAATGTTTTGCTCTTTTTTAAACTGAGTATTTATGTATTACATGATATCACTTTTTTTTATATGCTTTCAAAGAGGCTTTCAGGAGGTGTGTTATTTGGGGTTGACTAGAGAAACAAATTCCTACACACTCATAAATGTGTGAGAGTTTTATATCAAAGAGCAATTGTATATTGAGGAAACATCCCAACCCAGTCCAGATCAAGTCCATAATGATATTAGCCCATGTGTCCACCACCAGTCTGTAAATTCCTCTTCAGACTCACGCAACACACACAATGATGCCAAGTGCAGGAAGATCACAGGCTGGTGAGTGGAGTGTCTTTTGGATCCAGGGCAGTGGAAGCATCTCAGTGCTGGCGTGGGTTTCCACGTGGCTCCTCTAGCTCTAGGGCTCTGGCTACATTAGCGTAGCTCCATCAGGCTTGCCATCAGGAATGTCTTGCAGAGAGTGGGTGTGTCCCGCCTCCAGCAGCAAGCTACGACCTGATTGACAGGCTGAACTCCACCCCTTCACTCTCAAATTGGCACCAGATTACATAAATCCTACAGAAGGCACAATCTTTTCCATTTACTCAGAAGAAGCTATTCTACAGTCAAAGCAGGACTAATGTCAAAAGCTACTTGGCATTTCAACATCACTGTCAAGGCAAAGTGAACTTAAATGAGAGGGTAGTTGCAACATTTAGCACAATTCATTACAACATCCCACCGACTAAGTCCCATTGTCCTTGTCTATATTACTCAATTACCCAATATTGTAGTATGTTGGATTCACTCTTACCCTATTAACATGACTCTACCACTGAGGTGCCAAATAGACTTAACACTAACGAGCCCAGTAACAGGTACTCTGGTTGTCCATTGTATTGACCTTCTAAACTACTCGCACAAAGGAGTGTTAGTCAACTGAAATGGAAAAGGATGGGAGGTCAGTATAGAAAAAGCAACCCGTGTGCATGGGTTCAACTGTCTATTCAAGAGGCAAAGCTGGGGGTAAGGTGAGATGTGCTTTCCATGTTGTAGACCAGAAGTTTTCTGGGGCAAAAACCAAATAAAGACACGAACAGAGTGAGGCTGATGCCAAAGACGTGGATGAGGGCAACACAGAAGGTCTTGGTAATTAAGAGCATTGGACATGTGTGATGGAGTGAAATTTCTTAATATGGCTCTTCCATCCATGTCTCTCTCTCACCAAATGGTTGGCGGTGAGTGAGCAAATAGGGAGTGTCACACTCAAGGAGGGGATTTGTCGGTTTTAGTTGCCACCTCCTTGGTTATAAGGCTGAGCCACGTGGGCAGGAAGAGAGGGAATCCCAGGACCATCAGAAGAAGAGCACATTAGAGATCTCATTCAGATGTGGCTGAAGCTCAGGCGAGAGGCACAGAGACCATTGCATGAAGACTATGGGACAGAGCAAAGGAACCAGGCCAAGACCAAGATCAAGGCAAGGAAACCAGAGACTAGAGTGCCGAGACGATGGGACTGTGAAGCACAGTGACAGGCTTTCTGGTCCATGGAGGCTCAAGCCAAGAAACTGTGTGGCTGAGAGATTGAGGACCAGAGAGACACTTGGCTTCTGGCTGAGGAGAGGTATTGATTGTGACTGTGATTACTTAATACCCTCCCCCGCCTTGTAATGAGTTAATGATCCCAGCATAGAAGTAGAGGGAAGAATGGTTGGTGTCAGAAGGGGGTAAAGAAGGAGAGAGGGTGAAGGCATGTCTCACCTTTGGCTCTTGGATTAGAGAAGCCAGAGGAAGTCTGATGTGGCTCCGCCCACCTCTTCCTCATTACACAGCATGGTTACCAAAGTGACCTGATTCTGCTCAATGACCTACACACTTTTCCCAAACCACGAGTAGTGGTGATATGATATTTTATAGACACTGCCTCGAATCTCCTATTACTGCTCTAAAAAGGGCTATGTCTCTATTTCGTCTCTTCTCTCAATATTTGGTCCATTTTTGACTTGGATGGTGGTGAGAAGGACTGCTGTGGGGGAGGCATTCTAGGCTACAGGTATGCTCTTCAGGTTTGTAGGAGACTCTGTCCAGGTGACTCTGAGAATCCAGAGGCATTGATGATAGCAATATTCTCCTTGCAGACAGGGAGCAGTGAGGGTCCTGGCTATAACACAGCCAGTGTAGCAGTTGGTAGATGCCACAATTTCCTGTTACACTCAGGAGTTAAGGATCTTGAAGTCCCCAACTTCTGAATTCTTCTAAAGAGAATGAAGAGAACGATTTCATTCATTCCGAGTCTTGAGGAAGAGCCACACAATCAAAGGAGCCGCTGTCTGGTGGCTGCAGCAATCTAAGGGTGGAATACAAGAGGGAAAAGTGAGACTTAAGGAGAACATAGCTGGAAACATTTGATCCTGCGTGGAAATTGTTTTTTCAGAGTACACTTTGGGGGTCCTAGGCTTGGTTTAGGAGAAGGTTTTCCGTTACAGTTGCCCTTTGTAGTGTTGAAGCGGAAGCATGATGACAATTCCTCAGGTTTATCACAGAAAGGATGAAAGAATCAGATAAAATGGGAACCTCAGATAGCACCCCAAGAGAAGGGTTAGAATGATCAAATTTTCAGTGTTAGTCAAACACTATACGGAATAGTGAAATATAGTACATTTTGAAGTTTTTTCAAAAAGCTATACATTTGACCATTGACCTGGATAGTAGACCTTATGTTAATCATTGAAGACTGCTCTCGGAGGCCTCAAATTGTCTATCAAATTCACTTGAGGTAAGAAAGTATTTATTCCTTTGTTCTTACCATGAAGATCTTACTCTTATAACTTAAAAAAATCTTCCTACACGCAAATATCCAATGAAGACATTATTTTGTACCTTTTAGAAGCAGTAATCTGAAAGTAAACATACAGAAAATATGTTCATGCTGCTTGTATAAATAATCTTTAAAATAATTGGAAATATTTAAGACAAGGGCATTCACAACACTTGTTCTCTTATCCACAGTCACTGAACTTTCTTTCTCATTTAGATTTAAAAGATTTGGTCTAACACCAGAGTCTCGGAATGTACATGTTAACATGATTTGGAAGCAATAGAGTGCTTAGAAACCATAGTGATTTGTGTTGTTAAAAGATTTTTAAAGTAATAACAACTCTCGAACTTAAGCTCCACTCTGGCAGAAGCTTGACTAAAAAGAAAGCATTTGTGGGTTGAGAATCAACTTATTTTTGTGCTCTAAGGATAATGAAAAGAAGCACTCCGCATAACCGGCTAACGGTCTTCCGAGTTTAATGGAATGCAGTGAGAGGGGAAGGCAGTCACACAATGTATCTCGTTCCTGGAATTTAAAAACAAGGAGCATCCATTGTGCTCAGAAAATGTAACTTGTTTTGGCCATCTGCTCTGTCTTGTTTCCATCCCACATTACAGGACCATTTTCAAAGACAATCAGAGGGAGAAAAATGATTTTTAGTCTTCACTAGGGGGCATCTCAATTGAGCCTGTGTTCAATCATAATGTGAGCTGAAGAATTTGCTCTTTGTACCTACTGTATGTTGGGGCTTTCTTAATGGAATTGGAAAAGCCTCTATTGGTGAGCTCCTTCACAATAATGACGTATTTGCAGGGCAGGGATAATGCAGGCAGGAACATTAGCAGGCTTGACTGGTGTCGAGTTTGAAATAGCTCATATTTACTGAATGCTTACTTACTGTGCACCAAAGGAGTACTGATTCTGTTAGGTTTCATGGATGGGAAATACCACAGTCCTTGGCTTCCCATGAGAAAGAATTCACGCCGAAGCCTGGTTTGTGATCCAAGTGGGCTTTTACAGAGGGTAGAAGAAGTTTCAGGCTTGATTTACAGTAACTGAACACAGGCACCCTCGGGGAGTGCACATCCACACGTGGTGGCCTGGGGCGGGACGACCTTGGCATGGCGGAATGGAAGGTGGAGGAGCAGCTGGGATAAAAAGAGGGATGGCCTCCAGGTTCCGGCCTTTAAGGCCTTCTGGGGAGGCGTGGTCCATGGTACTGGTTGACCCCATTGGCTGAATTAAGCCCACCTGGCCTAGTTAGGCTCACTCAGGCGTACTGCCTATCTATGTGTGCTGTCCACCTGGCTCAAGGGCCTGAATTAGCGCATGTCCTTTAGCCTTTATTGGCTTCCAACTTCCTGTAAAGGACTGGAGGGGTAGGGATGGGGGGAGGGCTTGGCATATAAGGGATCAACTCCTGGTTCCTGTTCTGCTACCGAGCAAGACCCCAAGGGGAAGTGCTTGACTGCTAACCCAGACTGATGATTTGACTCCTTCAAGTAGCTCCACGGGAGAAAGGCCTGGCTGTCTTCTCCAATAAAGATTACAGTCTAGAAAACGCTGTGAATTGAAATAGACTCTAGGTGCCTAGCAACAGCAAAACTACACACCAACTGCCTACCACCCAAACACTGAAACCAAATGCATTGTCAAGTTCATTCTGGTTCATGGCCGCCCATATGCTGCGGAGTAGACCCTGCTCCAGAGCATTTCCTTTATGAAAGAACATTGTGAAGCCTTTCTTCCACAGAGCTGCTGAGTGGGTTGGATTGCCAGCTGTTAGGCAGTAGTCAAGCACAGAGTTTTTGCATCACCTAGAGACCTACTATTTGCCAACTACTCTCCTATTTACTACTTGGTATATCTCTATCTCTTTCCCTGGTTCAAACCCACCAGCTGCTCTACAGGTGAGATAGGAATGATCTACTGTGGTAAAGATTTACTGCCTCAGAAACCCAAAGGGGCAGCTTTCCTTGCTCTTAATGAACAATTACGAGTCAGAATCTATTCAATGGCAGTGACTTGTTGCTGTTGCTGTCCACACAACGACCTTAGGAGGCAGTTACTACTATTTTAACTTGTGTGTGTATATATAGATATATACATATACTAGGGGGGTACACCCCCCATCCCCTGCCCCTAAAGAAAAAACGAAAAAGGCTCTGCCTAGTGGATTGCAGTAGGCATTTTCTCCTCTAGGTGAGCATCGAACTCACTCTGAATTAGTGCATCCAGTGGCATCTCCTGGGAAGGTCTCTCTGGCCACAGTGAACGTTTTAATCAAAGCAGTTTCACTCGAACTCATTTTTTGTGATGGCTGATTTAAGATTACAGTGTGTGGCTGTGAAAATTTGTTTCCTACTCAGGAAAAATGCAGCAGAAACTGTTGTGCTGTTGAACACAGCTTACAAGGACAGTAGCTATGGGAAAAATTCAGTGTACGAGTGGTTTTCTTGTGTCAAAAAAGGTGAATTTATATCAATTTATGACAAAACTCAGCCTGGACGTCTGTTAACTTCCCGAAGGGACAAAAATGTCGACTCATAGTGCATTTGGGGTTCATTGTACCGGGTTACGCTGTTAATCAAGCTTTCTGTTGAGAGATTCTGGAAAGATGGCATAACCAGGTGCAACAAAAAAGGCCTGATTTGTAGCAGACGGGACTGTTTTCCCACCAAGACACTGCACCTGCTCACGCAGTCATCTCAGGGCACCAGTTTTTGGCAAAAATCTGCATGCTTCTCTTGACTTCTTTTTGTTTCCCGAATGCAGAGGAGCATGAAAGGACAGCGATTTGATGACAAAGACGTGAAGAAAAAAATGAGGGAGGTGCTGTCAGCCATCTAAACAGATGAGTTTGAAAAATGTTTCCAAGCATGGAACCACAGATTTGACAAATGTATTAAGTGCAATGGAGAGTGCTATGAAGGTGAGAAGGCTGTTTTATAAAAAATCAAATACATAGCTTTGAAAAAAATTCTTTTTTTTGGGGGGGGTGCACCCTCATATATTTCAAACGATGTATAAGAGGAATACAACTGATGACATGCGGTGTTTGAATGACTCATCTGGAAAAGCCCTCCTCCCACCCCATCTCCATGTTCATTTTACAGCGGTTTGTCCTTCATCGGTTTATGCAGACGCTAATCCATTTTCCAAAATGGGAACCCATGGGATCACTTTCATGTATTAGCTGACACCGGCAGTGGTCTCTCAAATTGGCAAAAGCTTTCTCCCCAAGAATATCATCCCCCAGTTTTAGACTTGGCTATATAGCTTCCATCTGGCTGTGGCTCCAAAGGCTCCCTTTTAATAAATGTGTACTCTCTGGTGGGTGACAACTATTATGTAATCTACAGAGGGATGATAATAATGACATATAGCCATTACCTTCCAAGGATACTTAGTTAGGACATTTGAGATGATGTCTTTCATCTTCAATTCTTTGGATATTAATTAGCCTGATATTCATTTTTCTAGAAGATATTATTATCCCACCCTTGATAACTTCAATATTTTCTCCCTTTATTATGATGCCATTGGACCATATGTGAGAATATTGGTTTTCTTTTTCATTGGGTTTTAATCCATAATGAAGGCTGCAATTCTTGATCTTTATCAGCAAGTAAAGTACTTGATCAGCAAGCTTCAAGTACTCCTCACTTTCAGCAAGCAAGGTTGTATCATCTGCATATTGTTAAAAAGCATTCCTCCAATCTTGATGTCATATTTTTCATATAATTCACTGTATATGATTATTTGCTCAGCATAGAGATTGAATAAGTATAGTGAAGGGCTACAACCCCGATGCCCAGCTTTCCTGCTTTTAAACCTTTCAGCATTCCCTCGTTTTGTTTACACAATTGCCTCTTGACCCATGTACTTCTGCAGAAGCACAATGAAGTGCTATGAATTAACATTCTTCTCAAGGCTGTCAGTAGCTTGTTATGATCCACAAAGTCGAACGACTTGGCATAGTCAAAAAACACAAGTAAACATTTCGCTTGTATTCGCTGCTTTTAGCCAACATCCATCTGATGTCAGCAATCATGTTCCTTGTTCCACATCTTCTTTTTAATCCAGCTTGAACCTCTTGTAGCTCCCTGTCAATGTACTGCTGAAACCATTGTTAATGATCTTCAGCAACATTTTACTTACATGTGATATCAATGATATTGTTCTGTATTTGCACGTTTTGTTGGGTTACCTTAGTTTAGAATGGGTACACATATGGATCCCTTCTAGTCAGTCGGCCATGTAGCTGTCTTTAAAAATTTTTTAGCAGAGGCAAGTAAGTGCTACCAGTGCTTCATTAGCTTCTTGAAACATTTCAATGGGCATTCCGTCAATTCAGAAGACTTGTTTGTTGTTTTGCCGTCCATGATACTTTCACTATTCGTTGACAGCATTACATATCAAGTGTGTCTATTCTTCTTCTGTCTTCTTTATTCAATAGCCAGTTTTCACATATATATAAAGTAAATAAAACACCACTCGTCTGTCAGTTTGTTGTTGTGGTGACTGTGTGTTGCTGTGATGCTGGAAGCTATGTCACTGGTATTGGGTACCAAAAGTGAACAGGTTTCAGAAGCGCTTCTAGACTAAGAACAGGCGACGAGGAAGCAAGATGCCATCCACTTCTGAGGAATCAGCCACGGAAAACCTTATGGACAGACTTGAGACATTGTCAGAGACCAAAAAGCTCCTGAATAGAAGCAGAATATCTTCCGAAATAGTGCCAGAAAGTGAGCAAGCCCCTCTTGTCGGAAGGCACTCAAATGATGACTGAGGAACAGCTACCTTCTCAAGATAGCATCAACCCTAACAATATGGTTGGAGTCAAGTCTTGGGGAGTAAAGCTTTAGAGACCTTCATTTGCTGATTGGGCATGATTCAAACTGAGAAGAAACACTTGCAAACGTCAATTAATAATTGAAATTTCAAATATACAAAGTATGAATCTAGGAAAATTGGAAGCTGTCAAAATGAAATGGAATACACAAAGATCAATGTTTCAGGTGTTAGTGAGCTGAACTGGACTGTTATTGGCCATTGTGAATAGGAAGATCATCTGTCTTACTACGCCAGGAATATCAGATTCCAGAGGAGGGTGTTTCATTCATTGTCAGAAAGGACATTTCAAGATCTATATGAATGCGATGCTGTCTGTGATAGGATAACATCTATCTACATAAATGAAAATCCAGTAAATAGAACTATTATTTATTATTCATATTTCTGCACCAACCACAAAAGCTAGAATTAGATAAATCAAATAACTCTACCAATGTCTTCAGTCAGAAATTCATTAAACATAGAACCAAGTTGCATTGCTAATGGCTGGTGATTGGAATGCAAAAGTTGGAAACAAAGAGGAAGGAAGAGTGATTTAAAAATATCACCGAATCACTGAATCAATCACGAAAGTCAAGATGGTGCATAAGCAAATGTGCTCTCAAGAAAGCTGATGACACCCAACTGTTAAAAGATAGAGCATCTGGGATCTTAAAGACTTAAAGTTAAACAAGCGGCCATCTAGCAGGGAAGAAACAAAGCCCACGTGGAAGAAATACACCAGCCTGTGTGATCATGAGGTGTCAACATGATCAAGTATCAGGCATCAGAAGACTCAAAACAAACAAATATATTGATGCAAATGAAGGGCGTCAGTGTGGAGGCCCAAAGCCCATCTGTAGACAATTGGGCATTCACTCACAGAAGGGTCACAAGAAAAGAACAAGAATCCAGAGTGCAGCCTAGCACTGACAGAACACACAACATTCCTCTAGTTTTTTAATGCTTCATCTCCCCCCTACTATCATGACCCCAGTTCCACCTTACACATCTGGCTAGACCTGAGCATGTACATTGGAACAGATGAGAACTCTCAACAGATGGAATCCAGGACAGATAAACCCCTCAGGAACAGTAATGGGAGTAGCGATAACATGAGGGTAGGGGGAAGGTGGGGAAGGAGGGGGAGAAACGGGGAAACAACTACAATGATCAACATGTAACACCTCCCCCTAGGGAGAGGAACAACAGAAATGTGGGTAAAGGGAGAGAGCAGATGATGTAAAATATGAAAATAATTATAATGTACACATTATCAGTGGTCCACGAAGGCGGGAGGGTAGGGAAAAAAAGTTGCTGATACTAAGGGCTCAAGCAGAAAGAAAATGTTTTGTAAATGATGATGGCAACATATGTAC